TGGGGTAGCCTAGGGCATTGAACTACCAGCCCAGATGGCCAAGAGTCCCTGGTGAAGCTCTTAGTTCCTTTGAGTACAGCTTGGGGTCCTCCCCAACACCCCAAAACAATAATAGCTCAAACACACACACACACACATATATATATATATATATATATATATATATATATACACACACACTTGTTTTGGGGCCACACCTGATGGTGTTCAGGACTTACTCTGCACTCAGGGATGGCCCCTGGCAGATTTTGTGACCATATGGGATGCCGGGAATGGAACTCAAGTTAGCTGCATGCAAGGCGAGCTCCCTACCCGCGGTCCTATTTCTCTGGTTCTCATTCATATGTTTAAAACTTTTAATTTTAAATTGTTTGGGTTCAAAATATGATTAAAATTAGCTCTTTACATAGATCCGTAAATCTTAGATCAAGTATTTCCCTGGGGTAGAGGAGGTATTTCATGATGAGGCTGCACACACATCAGCGTGTTCAAGACCCCGAGTTGGATCCCTGGCAACGCCTGGGCCCGAGCCCCCAGCCCCTAGCCCCGTGCTGAACTCTCAGTCCCAGCCCATTACTTCTGGGGAGGTGGGGGCTACATGCATAAAATTAAAAAATAACGATAAAGTTAGTTTTCTCTTTTTTCTCCTTTTTCCTAAGCTGCCTGGCCCACAACAGCCACCGACAAAGCTGAACTGCTTCATCCTCCTCTAAGCGGTTCAGGAGACTGAGTTAGTCCCCCCTGTGGGGGGGGGGGGCAGCGTGGATGCCCCCAGCCTCGCTGTCAGAGATCCCCCCTCCCTTTCACAAGTATGCGGGTAACAGACCATTGGCCTCATGCCTCCAGGGATGGGCCCACACCCAGCACACGGGCTGGGTGTCTTAAAAGAGAAGAACCCTGCCAGGAGTTTCCAACCTCTCCTTGGCAAGGCCCTGTTAGATGTGGAAACTGGGGTGTGAGGATGAGTAGCTCTGGGCCACCCCTCCCCCCCCCCCCCCCCCATTAATTCATACACACAGTTTAGTCTGGCCGGTGTGCTAAGTCTGGCCTGGCTGAACCAACCTGAACTCCAAAAAGCAGTGGGGTAGAACCTGGCCCAGCCCTGGATGACCAGTCCCCCTCTGCAACTCCCCAAAGCAGTGGGGTAGAACCCGGTCCAGCCCTGAGTGACTGGCCCCCTCCCCAACTCCCCAAAGCAGTGGGGTAGAACCTGGCCCAGCCCCGGGTGGAGGGCCCTCCAGGCAGCCAGCCAGGTCTGTATGAGGGGTAAACACAGGCAAGTTTCACTGGCCACACGGGGGGAAAGGGAGTGGGGGACCGGGGAGGGAGGGGCTGTCCAGATACCAAAAGCAAATTCCTTGAGCTCAGACTTTTATCTGTGTCCCCGTTCATTCTGGTGCCGGCATTGTCTGGGCCCAGAAGAAGGAGCCGGGAAGGCGGAGATAAGCATCGGCCCAGCCCAGGCGGCAGCGGGGAGGGTCCGACAGCAAAGCAGGTGGCAGACTCCGGACCCGGCTGCTTTCCACGGCTCTGGCTGGTGGTTTCTGCATGCTCCCGCGGTTTTGGCCAATGCTCTCCGTGGATGCTTTCCCCGCAACTGTGGCCAGGGAGCCCCAAGGCCAGCGGGGAGATGCAGAGAAGTGCCCATCTGGCTTTGCCTCTCGGGGCAGCGCACCCTGTGGACACTGAATGAATGGGAGCCACGGAACCACAGCCCTTGCCCTGGGCGACAGGAGTGGCGGGCGTGGCCCTCGGGGGTGGGGGGCAGTGAGGAGCCCGAAGAGGGTGGCGGCTGAGGGCTCCCCTGGAAGTCTGCCGCCCCTGGGCAGGGCAGGGGTGCCCCCCTTCGCCCCACCTACTACTCTCAGGGTGACTGTGCCGCTGACGTCAGGGCACTTCTGGCCGGTTCCCTGGCGCGCGCGCGCGCCCGCGCGGGGACTTGATTTTCATCACCGCGCACGGGGTGTCGCGGAACTGGAATGGGCGTGTCGCCGCCCGACCCTCTCCCGCCCCTTGTCCCCCGGCTCACCTCCTCCCGCTCCCTCCCACCCGCCTTTATAGCTGCGGGGCGCCGTCGGGGCCGCTGCTCCAGCCCGTCTGTCCGTTCACTCGTCGGCGCCCAGACCCAGGGTGAGTGGGGCGCACTGGAGGTGGGAGCGCGCGCGTGGGGCGCCAGAGTGGGAGTGCGGGGGACCCCTGGGGAGACTTGGCCCCGGAGGAAAACAGGACAAAGAGCCCCGAGGAAGGACTTCCTTTCACTGGCGGACTCCAGTTCGGCGCCCCAGGGCAGCTCTAGTAGGTGGGGGGCTGAGGTCTGCCCTGCAGGAAGGGAAAAGAGAGAGGAAGAGGTTGGGGTCCCGGGCTGAGCTTTCACCTTGCGAGTGGTCAACCCCGGTTAGGTGATTCCCGGGGCAAAGCATGTGGTCCCCAGAGACCTGCCGGGAGTGATCCCTGAGCACCGCCACTCAAAAAGTGGGAGGAGGAGGAGAAGGAGGTGAAGGAGGAGGAGGAGGAGGAGGAGGAGGAGGAGAAGGGGGTCCCTGGCATCTGAACCCACCCGTCTTGGGGTAGAGGCTCCCTATGCCTGGCCCCAAAGGCCAGTCCTGCAAACAGGCGCCTGACAGGGATCCAGGAATTTGAAGAACTTGCCCTCCCTGACTTCTGCTGGCCGCTTCTCCTCCAGGACTTTGTAAACAGCACAGACGGAAAGGTTGGGAGGAACAGCCCTGGGCTGAGCCCCCTGACCCCCTTCTGCTTCAGGGCTGCGGGTGTGGGACAGGTAGGAGAGCACCTGAGCCCTCCAGGTCTGCAGGTGGGAGAAGGGACCAAGCAGATAGGGTCGGGGGTCAGGAGGGCACCACCTGGGAGAAAGCTGCCCCCAGGTCTAAAGGTGGACTCGACATTCCTGGAAGAAAGGCTTTTGCCCTGGAAGGATTGATTGGCCTGGTGATTGAGCCCCCATGGGTGGCCCAGAGGGGTTGGCTGGGCTGGGCTGGGCTGGTCCCTCCATTGGGGACACCCAGCTGCTTCCCAGGCTCGGGACGGAAGGACCAACTCGGGTGGTCACTGACCTTCTCCCAGACCCCTCTCAGGACAGCCGTGCAAAGAGGCAGACTTGACAGAGACCCCCAAACACCGACGGGGGTGGGAGGCAGGACCCTTCCTACCTTGCTCCACTGGAAGGGGCCTCTACGTTTCTGCTCGTGCGATTGTTTCCATTTTTTATTGCTGTGGTCACAATACGTGGCCTGCTCTGCGCTTACTGGGGGATTTCGCTTACTGGGGGACTTCAGGTTGGTTGTTTGTTTTGGGTGTTCTGTATTTTGCAAACATCCCATGACCACCACAGTAGAAACAATCATATCAAGTTGGATATCAGTGAGCAAGGCCTGAGGGTCACAGCCTCTTTTTGTAAATAAAGTTTTATTGGAACACGGGCCGGCTCATTTGCCGAGGTATTCTCTCCTGCTGCTTTCTGCAACAAACACAGTTTGCCAGCTGAAACGACCTTCGGGTCCCTACTGAAAATATTTGTTGATCACAGGCTATAGGGGATATCGATTATATAATTAAGAATGGAGAATGAATAATAAGAGATAAAAAATAGGGAATGTTTCCTTTAAAGACTTCCATAGCACATCTATAAAAATTTACCATGTTCATTTTTCATCTTGTATATGTCACCTGCTAAGAACTGACAGGGAAGCATTAGATCTTCTGTAACTGTGGTATTTTTCTTAATATCCATGTGTATTTCCAGGAGTTTTAGACTTACGTATTTTGGAGCTATATCAGGCAACCCATAAAAGTTTATTATAGCTGTGATTCCAATGTAAAGGGTTCATAATTAGTACTATGCAAGCTTTTTGGTTCTTAAAATGTCATTTTTGGGGCTGGAGTGATAGTACAGCAAATAGGGAATTTGCCTGGGTTTGATTTCCAGCATACCATATGGATCCCGGAACATCACCAGGAATTATTCCTGAGTGCTGAGCCAGGAGTAACCCTGAAGCACAGTCGGGTGTACCTCCCCCTTAACCCCCCCAATGTAAGTTTAAAAAGATGATTTCAACTATTTTGGTTTTTGTCAGTAACAGCGGGTAGGGCATTTGCCTTGCACGCGGTCAATTGGGGCGACCCAAGTTTGATTCCTCTGCCCCGAGAGTATTTCGCCCGCATGGCAAAGCCTGGCAAGCTGTCTGTGACATATTCGATATGCCAAACACAGTAACAACAAGTCTTACAATGTTACTGGGCCCGCTCGACCAAATTGATGAACAACGGGAAGACAAGTGACAAGTGAATTTATTTTATACCAATCTAATGTCTACATGTTTATAGACAGCGAGGGACTAGAGACTTTAGTACAGCTGATAAGGGCTTCCCTTGCATGTGGTTGAGTTGGGTTTAATCTTTGGCACCCCAGAGGATCTCCTGGACTCTGCACCAGAACCCCCCCCCCCCCCCCAACACACACACTGGTGATCCCTGAGCTCAGAGCCAGGACTAAGCCCTGAGCGTAGCCGGGTGTGGCCCCAAAACCAAAAATACAATAAAAGAATAGAAGATGGTAATGTCCCCGGAATCTACCGGCGTGTTGCTGGTCCTTCTGCTTGTTTAGATCTGTCTGTGGTGGGCTGAGGATTTAGTTTTTCTCAGTTGCTCCATAGGAACTCAGCTGAGTGGTGTTATTCGGATATTATTCATAAGTTCCTGCCATGATATATCACTTCGATGTCATCGGGCTGGGGTGGTCACCCAGAAAAGTGGATTCTGGTGATCTCCCCTGGATACTTTCCATTCACAACTTCATCCAGGCAGAAATTTCTCGGGACTCCACCCTGCTGCTCTCTGAACTCAGCCTAGAAAAAAACACGAGGCTTAGCACCGCCATGCAGAGCCGACTTTGACATTCTTCCTCTGTATTACTCACACTTGCTAATAAATAACTTGCTTTGAGCAAATACTCAGCAGTTCAGCCTGAGTCCAAAACATTTGCACGGCAGAGCGCAGAGCACGGAGCAGAGGAAGACCGAAAAAAAAAAAAGTTTTGCTCCATTTCCTAAAGGAACTTGGGACCCGCTGGGTGAGTCAGCTGCACGAGTCATGTCTACTACGTCATGTATTTGGAAAATGTGAGGGCCCGCGGGTTCTTCATGGGAAAACCACGAAAACACCTACAAATGTGGAATGAGGAGAGAGTCATTTGAAAAAGCTCATGACAGATGTTTGGGTCAAATTTTGAAGAAAGATGGCCAAGGGGCTGTGGGCAGGAAGGAGAAGGGGCTTCTTGGCTCAGAGAATGAGACCCGGGCTGAGTTGCCGGTGAACTCCTGTTCCTTCCGGAAGTCTTGCTGGCCTTGTGTGGAGGTGGAGAAAGTTTGGGAAGGGCTGGAGGAGAGGTCATGGAGGGTGTGTGTGTGTGTGTGTGTGTGTGTGTGTGTGTTGGGGGAAAATCAGTTGGAAAAGTGCCCCAAAGTTCGAGGTGATGCTGCTTATGTATCTTGAGATTAAAAAGGGACGGTCTCCTTCCTCCCTCCCACCCTCCCTTCCTTACCTCCTTTTTTCCCCTCCCTTCCTCTCTTCCTTCTTCTCTCTCTCTCTTTCCCTCACTCCCTCCTACCTTCTTTTCCTCCCTCCCTCCCTCCCTCCCTCCCTCGCTCACACCCTCCCTCCCTTCCCTGTTTCTTTCCTCCCTCCCTCCCTCTCCTCCTTTTTCCCTCCCTCCCTCCCTCCCTTCCTTCCTCCCTTCTTCCCTTTCCCCTATCCTTCCCTCTCCTGGGTTTCTGGAAAGCTACCTGCCTTGTTTCTTTGACCAGCCCCTACCCTTTCTTTCGGCCTCAGCCTGCCTCGCCTCCACGTGCTCCCCATGCTCCCCACTCCTCCTCTCACTTCCTGGGCCCCACTGCTGGGGCCTCAGACCCTCCCGTCCCACGGGGACAGGGATCCAGGCAACTGTGTCCAGAGCCTGACTTTTAAGAACCATCCGATATGGGGCAGCTGATTTGATGCCTTGGCAACTCTGGGTCTCGGGGTTCCTAGAGGGCCCACCAAGACCAGGGGTGCTGGGCAGACAAGTGAAGACCAGCGTGGGGACCAGCAGGGACACCTGGTCTCCTTTGTGACTCCCGCCGCCCTCTTAGTGCTCAGCTAGCTGCCCTTGGCGTCTCTCCTACGAAGCTGGATTTTCATCTCCTCCAGGTCGCCTGCCTGCCTGAGACCTGGCAATTCCCCGAGTCCCTTTATTCACCGGGTCTGTCTCTGCCTGTTGGGGGCTTCCTCTAAGCTCATCGCTGCTCGACCCCCAGCTTGGCTGAGCCATCGGCCGGCCTGCGTGTCCATGGGCCCTGGGCACCGCTGCACCTTACTCGATGTCAACCGTTTGTGGTTCTCCAGATGGTCAGTGTGATTGGCACAGCTGGTGTGGCTTGGCCATCAGCCAGGCACTTCAGTGGGTGCAGATGGGCAGGAGAGTGGACGTGACCTGGCTGGTCTGGGATTTCTCGAGGGGGGTTGACTGGGGACAGAGGGAGAAAAGCTGCCAGGCCCCCGGGTGATTTACTGGCGAAGCAAAGATTTCTGATGTGCTGGGATGACTGGGTCTCACCTGGGTGAGGGATGGTAAATGGGACCATCCAGGCGAGAGAATCCACAGAGAAGAGAATCCAGAGAGAAGCTCTCGATGCCCCCACTTGGGTGGCCCCCAGCAGCCATCATTATTCCTATTTGTAATTCCATCATTATTCACAGCCATCATTCTTCTTCTTCTTCTTTTTAATCATTATTCTTTTTTTTTTAGAGACAAGCAAGATATACATTTATTTATTTATTTATTGCTTTTTTGGGGTCACACCCAGCGATGCACAGGGGTTACACCTGGATCATGCACACAGGAATTACTCCTAGCGGTGCTCAGGGGACCATATGGGATGCTGGGAATCAAACCCAGATCAGCCGCATGCAAGGCAAATGCCCTACCCGCTGTGCTATCACTCCAGTCCCCATCATTATTCTTATTCGTAATTCCATCATTATTCGCAGCCATCCTTGTTGTTGTTGTTGTTGTTGTTGTTGTTGTTGTTCTTCTTCTTCTTCTTCTTCTTCTTCTTCTTCTTCTTCCTCTTCCTCTTCCTCTTCCTCTTCCTCTTCTTCTTCTTCTTCTTCTTCTTCCTCTTCCTCTTCCTCTTCCTCTTCTTCTTCTTCTTCTTCTTCTTCTTCTTCTTCTTCTTCTTCTTCTTCTTCTTCTTCCTCTTCTTCTTCTTTTAATTTTTATTAGTATTCTTTTTTCATCATTATTCTTATTTGTAATTCCATTGTGATTGTTATCACCATCAATCACATCACTATTACTGAAAACTGAACCTGGCAGCTGGAGTATAAAGAGGAAGTTAAGAAGGCAGAAAGTCACTGGAAGGTGGGAGGGTTCTTGAGTTATCTGATGTCATTCTCTCAGAGGCCCTAGGGCAGGGGTGGTCCAGGGGAGTCAGCCCCCAGGTAGGAGAGGGAACCAGCGCCCTCAGGGGTTGTGGCCAGCACCTGAAGCTCAGGCTCCAAGGAGCTGCCCTAGGGCCAGAGAGGGTGACTCGAGAGGGAAACCCTCTAAGTTCAGGCGAAACTGCCCAGGTAAGTCTCCCCACACGTGAAGGGGAGGCTCACTTTGGAAGCCGGGAGCTGGGACACCCATCCGGGGGTGTCCTGTCCCCAAGGACCCACCGAGGCTGTCTGTGATCACGGCCGAGTCTGGGGTCTTTGTCCAGCAGGTGACAGTTCCGGCCACCCCAGCCCTGGTTTGGGGGTGTGGTCTGAAGTTTCGGCGACCCAGTCTTTCGATTTCAGGAGAGGGTGTGAGGATGGGAGGGGAGAAAGGCTTGGATGTGGACACTCTGGTTGGAGCCAGGAGCTGGGCTCGGACCCAACCTCCCACTCGGCCCTCATTTTGCCTAGGGGAATGGGAGACTTTGAGTGAAAAACCGGCCCCCCAAAGGGCACCAAGACCCCAAAGTGACTTCCGCTCAGCCTCCTCGCAGCCTCCACCTCTTCCTCTTCCTCCCCTTCCTCCTCCTCTCCTCCTTCCTCTTCTTCCTTCTCTTCTTCCTCCTCCTTTCTTCCTTCTCTCTTCCTCCCCTTCCTCCCCCACCTCCTCCTCTGCCCCCTTTCCCCCATTTTTTTTTGCGTGAACCCCTTCCCACGCCTGGCTCATTCTGAAGGGGTCGGAGCGACTCTGGCTCTGCAGCAGGTTGGAGAGAGCAGCAGGACAGCTGGCAGGGACTCAGCCTTCAGACACGAGGTCATGCCCGCAAGGCCAGTGGCCCTCAAGGCTCCTGCAGAGCGGACCTGGCCAGGAGGGGGCTCGGCGGCGGCAGAGCACCTTCCTGGCATGTGTCTGTGGGGGGTGGGTCTGGGTGGGACCACAACACCTGCCCCAAGAACATAAACCTCCAAGTGTGGGAAAGTTCATTATCTGCGTTTCAATGGGTAAGCGTCTGACGGTGCTTCCAGCACGGCCCAGACAGCGCCAGGGCCCAACGCCCATCACTGGGGAACTTGAGCCTGGAGCAGGGTAGGGTTAGGGGCCGGCAGGAGAGGCTTGTGAGAACTAGGAATGACCCACCCTGTCTCAGGAGCAGGAGAATTTTCTCCAGTCCCTCACGGCCCGAATCTGCACGTCTCTGCATCTCCTAAGAGAACCCCGCGGAGCAGAGGGCATTTGGGGGGGACGGTGTGACAGCATCTGGGGAGGCAGGCCTCCCCCTCGGGCAAGAGGAGGGACTCTGGAGGGAGGAAGCCCCCTTGAAGGCAGATGCAGGTGGTGGGTGGCAGGGAGTTGGGGTGGGAATTTGGGCATCTCTGGAGGAGTCACCGCTGGGTGTGGGGACCAGGCTGTGGGTGGGGCCATGGCTCTTTCTCAGGGTGATTGCGAGGCGTCCAGAGGACCTGCCAGGACACGGTCCCACTCAGGAAGCAACCCAGGGAGAGATGGTGCGGACTGACCCTGTGCTGACCCCGGCCTGGTCACCGGGACCTGGAATGGGCTCGGGACTTCCATAGTCATGGTCCTTTGAGGAGCACATGGGTTTGGGGTGTTCTGTGGGGTTCGTACCCTTTAGCTCTGTGTGTGTGTGTGTGTGCGTGCGTGCACACACGGTTGTGATGGCCAGAGATGGCATGCTTTTTGGCGGCATCCAGATGGGCAGGGTCCCAGATGGCAGTGCCCCCCCCCATATGGGGGTGGAGCGGGGGGTTGAACTCAAGGTTGCGTGCCCACTATTCGGTCATACTGTAAGTCCCCTATAAGCCGCACATCCCCATAAGTCTCTGTCTCTCTCTCTCTCTCACACACACACACACATACACACACACACGTGTGCGTGTGTGAGACTTATACAGGACACCAGCTTTGTCCCCTCTCCACACACACACTCACTGTCCATTGTTGGATCCTTGTCATTGAGCCCTGGGGGACAGGGCTCCAGCACTGACTCTCTGAGTGGGGCGCCTGGTCTCTGCCTTCTGCTGTCCAGTGCCAAAGCTGCCTGAGGTGACAGACTGCTTGGTCACCTCCTGGGACGTGAACAGGGAGTGTTGGTCAAGGAAGTGCCCAGTGATTACTCTGAGAGGTGCCCATGGGGGACAGAAGGCAGGAGGAAGATGTGGGCACCGGATCCTTCCAACCCTGCTCCCTTAGAATCCCTTAGACTGAGCTCCCTCTCGGGTGCTCGGAGCAGGGTGTCGTCCGCCCCTATCAGCTCTGCACATGCGTCTGGCCTGCGGTTTTCCCCTGGGGTTCCCTTCCCTGAGGTCAGCCACAGGCCCCAGCATCACAGATAATGGGCTATTTTGAGAGTGGAGAGCGGGCACCAGATAACTCTGCCCGAGGCACATTGTTTGAAGGGCTCCATTCTCTCTTGGGGAGTGAGGGACCAACATCCAGCAGAGGTCAGGGATGACTCCTGGCTCTGTGCTCGGGGATGACTCCTGGGATGACTCGGGGAACCCTGTGGATGATACAGACATTATGTGGTGCCGGGGACTGAGCCCAGATAGGCCACCTGAAAGGTGAGTGTGTGTGTGTGTGTGTGTATACACACAGACACACAAACACACAGACACACAGACAGACAGACAGACAGACACACACACACACACACACATATATATATATAATGGCACTCTGTTTAACATTCCCATTCTTCCATTCTTTCTTTTTTTGGCTTTGGGTCATACCCAGTGATGCTCAGGGGTTACTCCTGGCTCTCCATGCTGGAATTATTCCTGGCAATACTCAGGGGACTATATGGCATGTCAGGAATCGAACCTGGGACAGCTGTGTGCAAAGCAAGCATCTTAACTGCTATACTATCACTCCAGCTCAAATGTTCCCATTCTTAGTCACTGATGGGTTCGGAGTGATCAGTTAGACTCCTCAGAGGGAGGTAAGCATAAACGCAAGAAAAAGGCAGCTCTGCAGGGTTTGGGGCATACAGTTTTGGGTATCCCCTAGTACTCCAAACTCAGAGTGGATGCCCCATAGACAGGAGGAGCCCGGACTTGTTTTTCAGGGGCAGCCTGTTTCGGAACCTCTTTTGTCCTCTTCCCTCTGGTTTCTGCTCTGTGCAGAAGCATTCTTGGCTCGGAACCCTGCGGGCTGTGGGGTGGGGATACAGGTGACAGCTGAGGAGGGAGGTGTGTTGGTGGCACGACTGGCGGAGACCTCGGCTTCCTCTTCTACTGTCACGAGAAATATGTCTGTTGGCCCCTTATGGCCGAGTCTCTCAGTGGACATGGGCGTGTGGAACTCTGGAGAGCCCAGTTCCTGCGTTACAGACGCCTGGCCAAGAGACAGAAGCCAACACAGATGAGATCAGCAGGACGGCTTTAGTCACACACGCGGACTCAGTTGGCTAAGGCCAGACTAGATCGAGGCGTGGAGACAGTTCACGCCGAGCTTCTCAGGGTTAGATATGGGCGCACCCAATCCGGGGTGCAGAGTTGGATCTCACATACAGAGTGGCTGCAGCCATCCATAATGCTCGTGCGCTAGGAGTGAATACTTTCTGTTTCAAGTTCCAGAGACGTTTACTAATTGTTTCTGTGACTTGTTCCATTGCTCTAAAGCCTGCACTTAAGTCCTGCTAATCTGCTCCATTCATCATGACTCTGTGATTATATCCTATTCATCACCCGAACCTGACCCTAACCTGAACACTAACCTGGACTATAACCCTAACCCTAACCCCAACCCCAACCCCAACCCCAAACAAAATCCTAACCCTAACTCTAACCCTAATCCCAACCCTAAATGTAACCGTAACCCTAATCTCAGCCCTAATCCCAACCCTAATCCCAAACCCTAACCCTCACCCCAATCCTAAACCCAACTCCAACTTTAAAACCTAACCCTATGCCTAACCCCAACCCTAACCCTAATCCCAACCCTAACCCTAAACCTAATCCCAAACCAACCCTAATCCTCACTCCAAACCTAACCCCAACCCTAACCCTAAGCCTATGCCTAATCCCAACTCTAACCCTAACCCCAACCCCAACCCAAATCCCCTTTCTTTCTTTCTTTCTTTCTTTCTTTCTTTCTTTCTTTCTTTCTTTCTTTCTTTCTTTCTTTCTTTTGGGACCATACCTGGCGATGCTCAGGCCTTACTCCTGACTCTGCACTCAGGAATTACTCCTGGCGGTGCTTGGGGGACCATATGGGATGCCAGGGATCGAACCTGGGTTGACCACATGCAAGGCAAATGCCCTACCCACTGTACTATTGCTCTGACCCTCAGAAGAGTTTCTGATCCGGAGTGAAAATGAATGTTGGAGCTTTAATCATTTCTTGGGTGTTCCCTTTCTTACACTTGGTCCGTCTCAGAATAATGACAGGGGCCCCCCACCCCACCTGACATCCCTCGGCCTTGGCCACAAGCATCCCCCACCCCACCTATCTGTGGGGAGAGATGGAGGGACCACCTGCAAGGAGAGGGGTCACAGGAGCCCATCTGGGCCAAGTCCGGCCTCCCCTACCTGCAGAGGACCAGCTGCTTCCCCGGGAGGGTAGGGAGGATGGAGACTGGGTGAAAACTCGCCGCGGGCCCTCATGGAGCAAAGGGCTTGCTTCAAGCTCCCACTTAGTGTGCTCTTCCCTAAGGACACACTTGCCAAGCAGTTTCCCTGCAGGGTACTGGGGACCCTTCTCTCCGGAATGAGACCCTAGCTTCGTCCCCGAGCCTGAGGGCTCTAGTTTTGGGGTGGGCTCTAAGAGTGGTGGGGAGTGTGGGTGGGGGGTTGAAGGCTGGTCCTCCCCTTTCCTGGCCCTTGCAGCTGTCCAGGAGAGGTGGAGAAAAGCAAGGCGCTTCCTTGGAGCCGGTTGTGGGGGGCAGAGCCCCTGGGAGTGGACTCTGTGCTCGGGGCCAGGGCTCTGCAGGAGACTCACCCGCTGTCCCTCCTTTGCCATCTGCAGGATCAGAATGACGAACCCCCTGGCCACAACCACCCAACCCCCCGGCTGCGGCCCGAAACTGTTGTCCAAGTACTTTAGACTTTGTGACATGAATGAGATTTGGGGCATCGTCCTCGAAGCTCTGGCTGCCTTAGGGGCGGTGACCACGGTGGTCTTCATCCTGGCCCTCTTCATCCTCGTCTGCAAAGTGCAGGACTCCACCAAGAGGAAGCTGCTGCCCACGCAGTTCCTCTTCCTGCTGGGGGTGCTGGGCGTCTTCGGCCTCACCTTCGCCTTCATCATCCAACTGGACGGCAAAACAGGCCCCACGCGCTTCCTCCTCTTCGGTGTCCTCTTCGCCCTCTGCTTCTCCTGCCTCCTGGCGCACGCCCTGACCCTGACCAGGCTGGTGTGCGGCCGGAAGCCCCTCTCCCTGCTGCTCATGCTGGCCCTGGCCGTGGGCCTCAGCCTGGTCCAGGACGTCATTGCCGTGGAGTACGTGGTGCTCACCATGAACCGGACAAACACAGATGTCTTCTCCCAGCTGAGCCGGGAGCGGCGCAATGAGGACTTTGTCATGCTGCTTATTTACGTCATGCTGCTGATGGCACTGACCTTCCTCGCCGCCTCCCTCACCTTCCGGGGCACCTTCTCGGGCTGGAAGCGGCACGGGGCCCACATCTACTTCGCCTCGCTGCTCTCCATTGTCATTTGGGTGGCCTGGATCACCCTCCTCATGCTCCATCACTTCGATCGCAAATGGGATGACACCATCCTCAGCACCGCCCTGGTGGCCAACGGCTGGGCCTTCCTGCTGGCCTATGTCATCCCCGAGTTCTGCCGGCTCACCAAGCAACAGAACCCCCTGGACTACCCCGTCGAGGACGCCTTCTGTAAACCTCAGCACATGAAGCAGAGCTACGGCGTGGAGAACAGAGCCTACTCGCAGGAGGAAATCACTCAAGGTACATACATACAGAGTCTGGCGGGCGCAGGGTTCCTCGTAGAAAGTTGGAGACTTAAGTCATGGGATCTTCTCACGGAAGCAAGAGGCAAGAGGAGCCGGGTCCTTGAGGCTCCAACCCACTTAAAATCATCCAGCTGGGGAGGAGGGGGACGAAGAGATGGGAACTGTGTGAGGCACTTGCCTGGGGAGTGGCTGACCCACCCCCTGGGGTCCCCGGGCACCCCCAGGAGTGAGCCCTGAGCACAGAGTCAGGAGAAAACCTTGGTCACTGCCAGGTGTGGTCTCCCCACACCCAACCCAATAATAATAATAATGATCCAGCTAGGTTGATGCAGGTAGACCTAAAAGTGGGTTCCAGAGTCTAAGTTTGGAACTTTCTACCATGCCTTGTGGGTTTCTCTGAGTTCTACTAAGAGGCAATGGAGCAGGAATGCTGAGAGCAGTTCCTAGGGACGAGAGGATGTGATGGTTCCCCATGGGAGGGTCAAAGACATCCCTTCCAGGACAGCTGCCTCTTGCATGCCTGGAGCCATGGCCAGGGCACGGGGGGGGGAGGGGGGGGGCGGGCAGGAGCCCCTAGCTCACCTGGGGTGTGAGCCCAGAAGGGTACTGAGGGTTCCAAGTTACTGTCCATCTGGGCAGAAATGACATCTGACCATCAAGTCACCATAAAGGAATCAGTTTCACTTGCCTGGAGCTGTGCCGAGCCAGCCACTCCACAGTCCCACCAAACCCAGAGGGCCTGGCTATTAAGGGTCCCTTTATGGGAGCTCCAGAGTATCCATCCGCCCATCTGGGGAGCTAATTGGGAGAGAGGCAGAGGGCCAGGAAGATCCGGGGCCAGGCCTGGTGCTCCAGCTAAACATTTTCTAGCAGCCCCAGAAAGTCTGAGGTGTGAAGGTACTTCCAGGTATGTCCTTGGACTCGGTTCCTTCCTTCCTTCCTTCCTTCCTTCCTTCCTTCCTTCCTTCCTTCCTTTCTTTCTTTTTTTTTAAATTAATTTTATTGAATCACCATGAGATAGTTATAAGCTTTCATGTTTGGGTTACAATCACACACTGATCAAACACCCATCCCTCCACCAGTGCACATTCCCTACCACCAATCTCCCCAGTATAACTCATTCCTCACCCTCCCCCTGCCTCCATGGCAGACAATATTCCCCATACTCTCTCTCTACTTTTGGGCATTATGATTTTCAATACAGACTCTGAGAGGTTATCATGTTTGATCCACTTTCTGCACACATCTCCCATCCTGACCGATTCCTCCAGCCATCTTTTTCTTGGTGATCCCTTCTCTATTCCAGCTGCCTTCTCCCCTTTGCTCATGAGGCAGGCTTCCAGCTATGGAGCAATCTATCTGTCCTGTGTGTCTACTGTCCTTAGGAGTCAGCCTCATGTCATGTTGTTTTATACTCCACAAATGAGTGCAGTCCTATGTCTGTCCCTCTCTTTCTGACTCATTTCACTTAGCACAATACTCTCCATGTCTATCCATTTATAAGCAAAGTTCATGACTTCATCTCTCCTGACAGCTGCATAGTATTCCATTGTGTAGACATACCAAAGTTTCTTTAAGCAGTCATCTGTTCTAGGGCACTTGGGTTGATCCTTTATCCACTTTATCCAGATTTTGGCTAGTGTGAACAAACTCGGTTCCTTTCCTGGGCACTTGGTGCCCCTCAGGACTTGGTGGGAGGGCGTGGGGGTGGGATCCCTCCATCCCCTCCTTGACACTCCCTGTTCTCATCCCTTCCTTCCTTTCCCTCTCTTCCTGCTTTCCAGTCGCTTCCTTGGCTGCTGGCTCTGGAATCCTTCCTGCCACCCTCACTCTGCCCGCCTGTGTCCACGCCCTTATCTAGTCCTCCGTGGACTTTCCTAGCCAAGAAGGCGTGGCCACAGCTCGCCCCAGTGCTGGCCTCCGGGCTCCTGCACCTTCTTCCCTTTTCTTCACCTTTCCCAGAGATTCCTCATGGCCCATCCCCCTCTCTGCACCTCCTCTGACTTGCTCTTATCATAGCCTCATTCCTCACTTATCTGGGCAGCTGACAGAGGCCGCCCTGTCTGTATCTGCCTCAGGTGGGGCCTCGGGTCTCTCCTGTCTCCGCAGGTGGGAGCCACAGTCCAGGAGGAGGGGTTTGAGCCCTAGCCTGCTGAGCTCAGGGCTTATTCCAGGGCTCAGGGGACCACATGGGGGCCCCAGGGATCAAACCTGGGTCACTGTGAGCCAGGCCAGTGCCCTGCCCACTGTGCCATCTCTCCAGCACACAGGGGGTACTCTTCAGACATACCAGAGCGTTTAGGCAGGAAATGAATGGAGACTTGTTGCTTTATCCTGGATGCATTTCTCCTCTAAGGGGAGCTCGAACCCCTCAGATTCCCCCCAGATGCCAAGAGAATAATCATTAATAAATTCAAAGAATAGCATCAGCCATTTCCCTACTGTCGGGGCAATGGAGGCAGTGGGTAAGTCACAGTGACTCATTCAAGGATCGCCTGTGGCATGGCCTATGTCCAAAGAGACAGGGTTCTTCTCTCTTTTAACCCTATTAAACAATATACTACACAGTGGTAGGCTAGTATTCTATCAACACCATGCTAATTGTATTATGACAATATTAGCAGAGTATAATGAAATAATATAAAGTGGTTATGTTATTTTATTTTGGTCATTAAATAATCTTACTATTTATTTTTATTGTTCTGGGGGCCTCCAAGCAGTGCTCAGGGGAGGGATGAAGGCCAGTACCAGACTCCAGATGGGCATAGGTCAGTGCAAGGGGGTGGCCCGGGCAGATGGGGTCCCCCTGTGGCCCCGGCTGCTCCCGACTCCTGGCTCCCGACTTCAGCCAGTGGGCGCTCCCACCCTCCCTGCCGGCACGACGTGGAGACGTGGATCTCGGGGATAATGATGGCAGCCTCTGAGAAGTGACTCACGGGGGAGGGTCTGGCGGGGCTGAGGGGACCACCTTCACCCTTTACCGTCCCACCTCTACAGGTCTGGAAGAGATGGGGGACACGCTCTACGCCCCGTACTCCACCCACTTTCAGCTGCAGGTCAGTGGGGCTGCTATGCCCGCCCAGCCTCCCCTCTGCCCCTCCAGCCCTGCATCGTGCCTGCGAGTGTGGCTGCGAGTGTGGCTGCGAGTGTGGCTGTGAGTGTGGCTGCGAGTGTGGCTGCGAGTGTGGCTGTGAGTGTGGCTATATGACTGACTGTGGCTGTGAGTGTGTCTGAATATGCCTGTGAGTATGGCTGTGAGTGTGGCTGCGAGTATGGCTGTGAGTGTGACTGTGAGTATGGCTGTGAGTTTGGCTATATAACTGAGTGTAGCTGTGAGTGTGTCTGAGTATGCCTGTGAGTATGCCTGTGAGTATGGCTGTGAGTGTGGCTGCGAGTATGGCTGTGAGTGTGACTGTGAGTGTGACTGTGTGACTGTGAGTGTGGCTGTGAGTGTTGCTGCGAGTATGACTGTGAGTGTGACTGTGAGTGTGGCTGTGAGTGTGGCTGTGAGTGTGGCTGTGAGTGTGGCTGTGAGTGTGACTATGAGTATGGCTGCGAGTGTGACTGTGAGTATGGCTGTGAGTTTGGCTATATAACTGAGTGTAGCTGTGAGTGTGGCTGTGAGTGTGACTGTGAGTATGTCTGTGAGTATGACTGTGGGTATGGCTGCGAGTATGGCTCTGAGTGTGGCTGTGAATATGGCTCTGAGTGTGGCTGTGAGTGTGGTTGCGAGTATGGCTGTGAGTGTGACTGTGAGTGTGACTGTGAGTGTGGCTGTGAGTGTGACTGTGAGTATGGCTGTGAGTTTGGCTATATAACTGAGTGTAGCTGTGAGTGTGGCTGTGAGTGTGACTGTGAGTGTGGCTCTGAGTGTGGCTGTGAGTGTGACTGTGAGTGTGACTGTGAGTGTGGCTGTGAGTGTAGCTGCGAGTGTAGCCGATGGTAGCACCTGCAAGTGCTAATTCCACCTGGCGCTTGGCCTTGGCTATGGCCTGAGTGTGGGGGTGGGGGAGAGCAGACCCTGAGTGGGAGGCAGCAGACCCTGAGGGGGGGCAGCCGACCCTGAGTGGGGGGAGGGGGGCAGCAGACCCCCACAGGGTTGGCTGAGGTGCCCAAACCCTTCTGGGGAGTGATGTGACCACGCGCTCTTCTCTCCAGCCCCAGAACTCGCAGAAGGACTTCTCCATCCCCCGCGCACAGACGCACACCAGCCCGTACAACAACTACGAGGGCAGGAAAGACGGCAGCTAACTCGGCCTGCAGAGCACCGAGCGGGCCCACACAGCCAGTCAGCCCACCGCGGGTCCCCCTTCGTGTTTTGTATTGAACAAGACTCTCACGGAGCACTGGAGAGCACTGCCTCCCGGCCTGGAGCCGCCGGACACTTGGGGGAACTTTTTTCCAGTGGGACCCTCCGGTGTACTCCCTCCTCTCCCTGCCATTCAGCCTGTGACTAAAGACTCGTCCAGCCTCGGGCTGGCTCGGGGACCCTCCGGGAACCCACCTTGCAAATCTGCAGAGTGACAGCGAGGCCCAGCCCTAGCACTGTCCTGGCCGGATCAACACTGGAAGCCAGCTTTCTGGCACCCCGCTTCTTGCCTGGACACGGGAGCACCCCGGCTTTGCTTAGCCACGTGACACTGCAGAGCTCAGGGGCTGTCTGGGGTCCCTGGTACCACCTGGTTCCCTCTGGCACTGTTCCTCGCCTACTGCCACCCCTTTTCTGGTCTCTCCTGCGCACACACCCCCCCTAGGAGTTCTCCGGCACCTCACTGGCGTGGATGAGCCCCTTCCTCTGGACCAGGGGATTTGGGGGCAGGGGACACTTGGGTGCTGTTCTCACTGTCTCTTCCGGTCCAACTCCCCCTCCCTCCTTGCTCCTTCACCCTGTGAAGAGATTAACACTGTGCTCATCTGTAAACGGGCACGTCTCCTACTGATGCGGAGGGGGGTCCTTGTACAATAAGTTATTCTTCCCTCACGGGGATGCAATAAAGATGTACGTGGGGGCAACAAGTGCCTAGCACTGAGCACCAGGGGGCGCTGGTGGGCTGCCCGCGGCCTTCACCATGGGGCCCAAGTTCAATGGCCCTTTTGTTCTGTGTCTCAGCCCCGTTCCTCTTCACCCAAACCCAGTGTGTTTCTTTCCATTTTTGAGGGTGAGGGGAAGAGCGTGAAGGGGTCATGGACCCTGGGCCCAGCCAAGCAGTGACAGCCGCACAGGAAAGGCAGGGCGGGGACCTCAAAGCCAGTTTCTTGGTTAACTTGAGGTTTAATTGCGGGAGGGGACAAACCCGGATTCCGTATTTGACAGATTTGGTTCACAATATCTCTCGACGTGTCACGCAGTTATTGTTGAGTTAATCCCACAAGCAGCCCCGTGGGGCAGGGCAGCCGGAAATGCCCAAAGGAAAATGAAAAATAAATCATCCACGTACAGAAATAGAATGACGTTTTCAAGCATTCCTTAACTGAGTGAGGTCCCTTCAGAGAGCCAAGGCTCTGCTTTTCATCCAAAGGGAAAGCCCCCTTCCAAGCTTTTCACGGAGAGGTGAGGTGAGGCAAGGGACTGACTCAGAGAGATTTATGGTCCACCGGATGTTTGGTTGTTTCTCTCTCACATGATTTTGCACTAACTTTAGCCTTGTTTTGTATTGAAAAGGGGGAAATATCCAAGAATGATCTGAATTCTTCTAGAATATTCCAGTCTTTCTTTTCCAAGAGGAAAAGCAATAGCTCCCTGTATGATAACTATCACAGGCTAGATACATCACCACCCCTGCACTTTTCTTTTTTTCTTTAAATTGCATTATTTTATTTTCTTAAATTTTTATTAGTGAAACACCATGAGGTACAGTTGTAGACTTACAAATTCTTGTGCTTGGGTTTCAGTTATACAATGATCGAATACCCATCCCTTCACCAGTGCCCATTCTCCACCACCACCAGTCCCAGTATCCCTCCCCCCAACCCCTGCACTTTTCTATCAGTCAGGCAAGGGGTAAGCTTGAGCCACAGAAGATTCTGGAACTGATGTCTCCATAGTGAAATCAACTGCCTGGTTTGTATTGTCCTTGTATTGTGTGTCCCTCTGTTGCAAAAAACAGGTGTGTTTGTGGAAACGGCATTTCTGGAAGCTGGGGTTTCCAGAGTCTTGACACGCAAGCCGTCAGCTCACCAAGGTCCCTTTCCCCAAGTGGTGGGACAGCGTTTGTCACCCTGAGTGACTGGGAGCTTGTCGGGCTTATGTCTTCTGCATATAACTCATTTATTCAAAGAGGACCAACACAGGGGCCAAAACATCGCTACCTGGAAGCTGAGTGGCCCGTGGGTGCAAACAGAATGTGCAAACTTAGCCCAAGTCGGCCTTGGGGGATGCCCGTGGTTGGTGGCTGGGGGCCCCAGAACGCGTCTCTGAGACCAGTGGGTGATAACGAAAGGACCCGCCGCCAGAGCTCACTCTTCTCTCATTGTCAGGTGAGAAATAGGGCGGCCCCTCTGGCTGTCGCAGCCCACGATGCCATCCCCCATATGACCACTAGATGGCAGCAAAACACCAGGAATCAATCATCCGGGTCTCAGCGGATTTGGGGTGGGGGTGAGGGGTGGGGGTTGGCCGCGACAGACCCGCAGACCATCCTGAGCAGTGCCATGGTAAAAGCTATAGTGAGGTTGGGGGCCACACCCGGCGGTGCTCAGGGCTTACTCCTGGCTCTGCACTCAGGAATCACTCTTGGTGGTGCTGGGATTGACCACATGGGGTGCCAGGGATTGACCGTGGGTCAGCCACGTGCAAACGCCCTTGAAGCTTCATTGACACGCAGGTCAAAGGCAGGGGGCATGAGCAGGGGAGCATTTGGAGCAGAGTAAGTCCAGGTCCCACAAAGCATTGTCCTTCATGGTACCCCAATTGACAACATGGATACACACCAATGCACATTGATCAAATTTTGCAGAGGACATAAAAACGAGGCAAGATCAAATAATAAAACTGGCACAGAAGACTGGATCCCAAGATCCCAAGCCAAGAATTTTTCTTCCTAGATGTAAATGTTAACCATGCTCCCCAGATAAATGACAGAAACGTAGGCTGGGAAAGGCTTAGCTTGACAGTGGGTTCTCTCTCTCTCTCTCCTCTCTCTCTCTCTCTCTCTCTCTCTCTCTCTCTCTCTCTCTCTCTCTCCCTCTCCCTCTCAATAAGATACTTTTATTTAAACACCACGGTTTACAAAGTTGTTCATAATACAGCTGTTTCGGACTTTTGATGTTCCAACATCAATTCCACCACCAAAGTGACCTTCCTGGACAGCGTTTTTTTTTGTGAGAAGGACCAGGAGTGTTTCTATGTGGACCAGGGAAGTGGGTGTGCAGACAGGAAACTCCAGGTTCTGGGCACCCCAGGGCAGTGGACGCCCTACCTGGGGGCACACCCACCACGCCTGAGGGTTCAACCTTTTTGGGTGCATCTCAATGTCTTTGTGACAAGCGGCTGTTACTAGCAGGCAGTGCAGAGAGAGAATGGGATTGAGACGGTCCCCTAGACAGCAGATGGCAGGATGGCCATGGACACGCTGGCTCTGAGTCCGACTCAGAAGTGCTCTATGTGCACAATACCATTCCGTGTTTCTGAAGATCCACCAGGGGGTTAGGAGTGTCATCCCCATTTCAGTTAACAGCTGCAGAAATGAGCACCCCGCAAGTTAGATAAAGCTTACGGGGTCAAGCTGCCCCGTGTTTGCGTGGGCAGGGGGAGCTGATGGGCACATCGCCCTCTCTCGACTGTGTATGTGAAACCCCAATTGGTTTATGTAGGAGTGATCCTGTCTGCTCTCAGGATGCTGGGATGATATACATGGAACTCTCTCTGGGTACCGCATGGATGCATCGATGCCTGTGTTACTAGGCTTGACCCTATCTGGACTATGCATGCCTGAGTTCATCTGCTGATGTCTGGGCAATCCTGTCCGGATTAGCTATGCATAACCTACCTGGACAGTGTACAGATAACTTCATCTGGATTTGCACACATGGTCCCATCTAGATTACCTATGTATAACACTCTATGGATTATATATATGTGATTTCATCTGGGTGATGTGTACACAACTCCATCTGAACTCCATCTGCTTGCTTTTATCTGGATTATTTATTTATAATCCTACCTGGATTATGTATTCATAGCCCTCTCTGGACATTGAATGAATAATTTTGTCTGGATTACTTGATTCCATCTGGATTATTAATGCAGAACCCTACCTGGATCACGTATGGATGATTTCACTTGGATTCTGTCTGGATGATGTGTGCATGACTCCAGTGTGTGTGTGTGTGTGTGTGTGTGTGTGTGTGTGTGTGTGTGTGTAATGTTGTCTAGGTGATGTATGTATCCATGACCCTGCGTGAATGATGTATGCATGAGCTCATCTAAGGGATGTGTGTGTCTTCCCGGCTGAATGATGTGTGCCTGACTCCATCTGGATGACCTATTATGATTTCATCTCGACTATTATGCATGACCTTACGTGGATTGGGTATGAGTGACCCTGTCTTCCCCTCCACTATCATTAATAATAACAACAGGACATGGGCCAGAGCCATATATTACAGCAGGGAGGGCGCTTGCCTTGCATGTGGCCAATCCCAGTTCAATTTCCCGGACCCCATATAGCCCCCTGAGCCCTGCCAGGAGTGATTTCTGAGCACAGAGCCTGGAACAAGCACCGAGCACCGCCAGGTGTGATCCAACTCTGCTTCCCCCAGTTAAAAATACATAAATAACAGCAGGACCTGCAGCTTGTTGCGGGACATAGATTCCCTAAGAGCTTCCTGCCGAATGTGCTGGCTCTGTGGTACTCTGCCAGACAGGCCTGGGCAGGGGGGGAGGATGCCATCACCTGAGGTGGCCCTCTGTCCTGGGCTTTGCCTTGCCAAGTGTCCTTCCTGTGTTTGAGTCTAAGAGGCAGCAGGATTGGAGTGTGAGACTCCTCACCTGTGAGCCATAAGAAACACAAAGCTCTTGATTGCCGGGTGGGCGTGTCCTCAGCTCTTAGTGATTATCAACCGTGGCCTCCAGCCTCCGGGGCTGGGAGCTGCATTTCCGTTTTTTGGAACGGAAGGTGCCACTCAAGAAAGATCTGACTACAGACTGACACTCCCGGCTTGGTGATAAAGGTGAGTGACCTGGAACTTGAGAAAACCCCCTTCAGTTCCCCAAGCTCCTGTTTTTGTTTTGTTTGGGGGCCACACCTGGTGGTGCTCAGGGCTTCTTCCGGGCTCTGGACGTATCCCTGGTGAGCTCGGAGGACCGTATGGGATCAAACCCGGGTTGATAGCATGCAAGGCAAGTGCCCTACCAGCTATGGAATCACTCAAGCCCAGCAACCCAGTTTTAAAAGAAACGTTAATTTTGTTGTGATTCAAAAAAAAAAAAAAGCAAGAAAGCAAGCAAGCAAAGGAGTGTGTTGATCATTGAGTATGACTAATAGTCTCAGACGGAACCCAGGGTTTTGTGTTGCTCAGCAGGACCCACAAGGCTGGGGTTCTGGTGACCACAGTTTAGTCATCAGAGACACAGTCCTCTGCTCCGGGGAGATGGGATGGGACGGGGGGTGGGGGGTTTCTGAGGGGGGCATGGGAGGGACTGAGGCCAGGGGGCAGGATGTGTGCGGGGGGGGGGGGGGGTAGTGGAGAAGCCATCAAATTGGACTAGGCAAGAGAAGGAAGCAAGAAGGGTGTGAAGGTGAAATGCAAGTGAAGGTCTAGGACCCACCAGGACCAAAGGCCCAGCGTCACAGGCCCGGGGCCCAGGGTCTGTCTGGGAAAGGGTGTGGATGGTTTTGGCCTATTCACAAAACCTCCTTATATCTGGCCCTTTCCTCATCATTGACTTTCCTCAGCTACCAATTCCTGTATTAGCAAAATAATGTATTAAATGGATGTTGAGAACTGCAAAAAAAGAGAGAGTGGCTGGTCTGTCCTTGGAGTCCCCTGAAGGGCTAAAGGTCATGCATCTGAAGAGAGGGCCCAGGGGAGGAGTCGCGGCTGCCCCAGGCAGGCAGGCACACGGGGGGGGGGGGGGGGGGGGGTGGGGGGGGTGGGAGGGTGGTGGGGGGTGTTCTTTGGATGACACGGACACCCCTTTCCTGCCTGCGGCTCCCATCTTCCTTCCGTTTCCTGCCACACCCGTGGATTGGTGCGCCCAGGTGATCCCTGTGACTCCCCAAATCTTGGGGGGGGGAGGGGTTTGTTGTGCAGACAATGCTTCTTGATCGACTCTGCCAAGGCACAATGGGGCTGCTATGGTGCTCTCTGGAATCTTCCAGAGAGGCTCTGAAGTGTGTTTGTATATATGTACACACACACACACACACACACACACACACAATATCTACCT